TGCAATTAAAGGGTATAGCAATTTTCAACGTCTTCTAAGAGTCGCAACGGGTTAATATTTGGCCGAATAAGTAAATACATCGTCCGAATAAATGAATATATTGAATCATATTCCCACAAAAGAGTCTTCGTGACCGCAATAATTCTGAAACAAAAAATTTGAAAGAAATAGTTCTCGGATCCTACGTTCCATTTGCTTTATACTCGGATACGGGACGAGCCCCGACCGTTTCGACTCGTCAAGAATGACTCGTAATAACCTCGGCAGGTCGGTGGGAAAGCTCGGTAAAGTGAAATCGTTCCCTCTGCCGGTTTTCGTCGCGAGTTTTCCAGCGATTCGAGCGATTCGCGTCCAAGAATGATTCCGCAAGTAATATGCAGGCCCGAGTCGAATCGTCCAGGCCGTCGTTTGATTGCGTCTTCACGGGCCAGCTCGTCCACTCGTTGGTCCGTAAAATTGAGGGGTAAGATTATTTCTCTTGTTCCTCCTTTTTATTGTTCGGGGTCTCCCCCGTTTCGTTTCTCGTTCGTTTTCCGTTGTTCCCCGACGAGCTGCGGAAAGCTGGCCGGACTAATAAGAAACCGAAGGGTAGATGGTCCGCGATGGTACACTTACGGGAACTCTCGAGGAAGGGTGGTCGCCGTGAGAGACGACCTCTGGAAATGAACTTGGTCCTTGGTGTCTTTGGTTTGCTTTCCGGTATAATTAACTTTATATTTATCGAATAGGACGTATGAAATTTTGTTTATAAACGAATAGGATTAGGTTTGAGCATTATTCGGATTGTTTCGAATAAATATTTATCTGAGTTAATTATCCGAATGAATTCCTTTTGACCGAATATTTTATTCGAATAATTCTTTCTTCGATTAATTGTTTATTCTGAAACTATGAAAAGACGGTTTATAATCTATCATTTTTATTCGAATCAATTATTTTTCCGTACGAATAATTTCTTATTTTGATTAAATTTGATTCGGATAAACTTTTATCCAGATAAATCTTTATTCGATAGCGTCGAATAAAATTGTATTCGTTAGACTTTATCTTTTATCTATCACTGGAATAAAATTTTGCCGAACACTGCTGTGGGGTAACCAATTGCTGTGCCTTTGGTTCGTCTAGATATTAAATATTAAATATCAAATCCTTTTATCCAAAAGAAACAAAACTGAAGAATAGTAAAATGTAATACGTCTTATTCGATAAGTATAAAACTAATTGTGCCCGAAAAGAAAGCGAATGCACAGCGATCGGTCAGGCCACAGTAACCGGCTCCGCTACCCCAGAGATCGGCCGTCGAGATCGTTGAACCTTTCCCGCACGTCGATGCCAGGACGTATTTCCATATCGTTGTCCCGGGGAATAATTATTTTATGAACCGTGCACACACACCGGTTATTCCGCGAACCCGACCGAGGCTATCGCGGCAGTGTATCTGCCACAGGGAACGGTTTATACGTTTTTTAAGGCCGATCGAGTCTGTTATTGGGCACTTAGACGGCCGTCGGAATTATCAGGGAGTTAGGTCGGAGGGCTGTTAAGCTCGAACTTTCAAATTAAAAAGTTACGGTGCGCCGGCGTATGCATTAGGAAACGATTCACGGTGGTACAATGTAACCGAAGTTATCGCGATCGTACCGTGGGAACGATAAATGCGAAAGGGTCATAATCTCAAAGGGTTTAGAATCGTTGTAAATTTTCAGGCTGACATTAACGGAGAGGTCGCGTGCCGCGATGGAACGCGGCGCACTAAAGCCACGGCATCGAACGGGAGACGGGACTCTTTACCGGGAACACACAGCCGAGCCAGCCCAGACTATAAACTGATTCCAATTTTTTTCCATATTTTGCATACCTTTAACGATGCTTTTGATTTATGCGCCGCCCCGTCGGGCAGCCCTGCCCGGCCGGAGGAGCGTCCCTCGGACGGCTATCCGCGAACCCTATCGAATTTAAGGGCTGGTTCCGGTCCGCAAGCTTCAAAATTGTTATTCGTAAATATTCCCTTTTGGGGCGGATTAAACGGGATGAAAACCGTTTTCGACGTTTATTAACGTCTTCTTTCCTCGTTGGTTTGTTAAATCGTGGTAAAAGAGACGACCATAGTTTTAAGCTGTACAAAATTTGCGAGGCAGTCAACCTAATCACGTTTAAAAAGTACGTTCTTATCCTTTGTTTGATATCTCAAAGCTGAAGATTATTCTCTACATTTCTACATTTTAAATTCGATAAGGCTATTTCACCTGAAAACTGAAGCTGTCCTTGATGTACTGATAAAAAAGAAAAATAAGAAAAATAGGTGAAATAGGAAATATTATAGAAGATTATATCGTGCGACCCTCTTGATATCAAATGCAGCAGTTTCTCCCGGAAATGCCAAATTTCGGGTTGCTGCGAATTTCCACTAGCTTGAGAGTTACTCTGTGCCTTCACTCGTGAAAAAGACACTAACAGGTTTCCATAGTGCACGAAGAACGAAAATACTCGAGCGTGGAGAAGCTTTTCGAAATGCCGACATCATGGCGATCTCAATGGCAGCTTCGACGAGTCCCCGGAACGCTAACTAATTAAGAAGCGATGCAATTAATTTTCCAGTTTATTAAATAATTAACTCCTATCTCGGGGTGCGCTTTGCTTGACTAAGCGTCCGCTTCCCTAGCTCTCGTTTCAACTTTACTTCTGTGTCTCCCGTTCCCCAGCCTATTCGGGAACCCAAAGCTCCCTCTCGCCCACGCACCGACGACCTTTACCTTTTCTGCCAAGAGCTCGATAATCCAGGCCCGTTAATTATTTGAAGTTTTCGACGGATCGCGGTCCCCGGATGCTCGACTGGAACGAAACGCGCCATCTTTGCGGCGGCAGTTTACTTTTGTTCTTCGAACTCAATGTTCACTTCGAACTCGACCTACATTATTATTAATCCTTCGCTTCTGACTTCGAATTTATGTCAGCGATACGGAACCTATTCGCGAGCATCTCGATTAATTTCCGAAATACGTGACATCGTTAGAGAGAGGAAATACGTTTTAGACATTTTGGTATCTTTGCAACGAAGAGATTAGTAGCCAAAAATTGATCAAGTGGATCTTATCGTATTATGACAGTCGTGTGATCGTTATTCTATACAGATCCATTCTTTTATTAATATTACGTTTGCACAGACTCGCGAAAAATTTTGTTCGGATGACGGATCCAATTTTAACTCAAATTTCATTCGACGCTGTCGAATGAATATTCAAGACTGCCGATCGTTACATTTGCTTCGATTCATGAATCATGATTACTTCTATTAATCACGAACACGATGTCACGTTAGTTACAATCGTGAATCGCTGATCAGATTATTTGTTGCCGAACTCTGGCATGCAGCACCACCGATTCCAGCATAGCAGCTTATAAGAAACAATTCAATCTGTCGTTGATCCTCGTGTCTCGATCCGTATGAATGTAAATAGCGTCGGTAAAGCAGTCTAGGAACAAGCTACAGGACACCCGGAAAATTAGACCGAGCTTCCACGGTCAGTTTATCGAGGATCCCGCCGCAGGACGGCAGAATCCTGTTCCCTCCGGCTGGCATCAATTAATCCGAAACGATTGTCCTCGCCGGCATTGTTCGAGGCATCGAATTAATTGCGGCGCACATTCAACCCTATCGCGGCACAGAGAAAGTTCCCACCCTTCCGGAAATATATCTAAGACGTTCCCGTTACTCCTCGCGAAGCGGTGGAGCGGATCTAAGAATCGTTGAAAGCGGAATCGCGGGCGGAAGAAGGGAGATCAGGGGGGGTCGGAACTCTTCAAACCCGGGGATGACGCTCGAGACAAGTGTTTCTTACGAGTGAAGTTTCTTCGACGCCCGGCTACACAATGCTATCGCGATCGGGCGTTCAAACGAGAAAACTTCGGCGTCGAGGAGATTGCGGTACAAATATTGCGCGCAATTTGTAACCGGAAGAGCTGCGGTTCCAGAGGCTCGCGCGTTGCCACATTGTTTTCGACAGCATGAAGACGGCACAGTATCTCGTGGCACATCTTGCGTTAGGTATATCGTATCAGTTACAGTTGCATAGCACATCGTTATTAGGTGCCGGAAATTTTTCGTCGATTTTTCCGTCGACTCACACCGAATTCATCGACACCAATCTATTCGCCAAACAACGATTTATGTTAATTCGTTGTCGTTCTTCGACGAGTCTATCTACTAATGGCCATTTTTAGTAATGTTCTGTTAAGCACGAATGTTATTTTGTTCTTTTAAGGTGGAATAAAATTCCGTTCTCTTGTTGTTAATCTTCGAAAGCTCAAGTGTCGATAAACGATAAATAAGAATTGTCTATTTGAATAAGAATTTTCTATATGAATAAGAATTTCTATCTTCTTCGATATGATACGGCAAGTAATAAAATAAAACGAAACATTGAAGAATATTACGTATGTAATTGTAATGTAAAGTCCGTTTAAGAAAAATAATCTCATCTTAATGTCTCTGCTGCTGCTACGATGCATCGAAAAATTAGTTGTAAAAGTGTAATATATATGTATATATTATTTAATATTATATAATATAATATTTATGTATATATTATATTATATAAATATTATCTTATAATATTTATTAAATATTAATAATATTATCTTAATGTCTCTGCTGCTGCTACGATGCATCGAAAAATTAGTTGTAAAAGTGTAATATATACATATATATTACACTTTTACAACTAATTTTTCGATGCAACGTAGTAGCAGCAGAAACATTAAGATGAGGGCAAGGGGGGGGGGCAATCCTTTCGGATTAATTACTTTAAAGTACAAAATAAAATTGATTCAATGTCATAAGCGATTAATGGAACAGCTTTTACACGCGTGTATCTGTTATCTGCTAGCGCAGCAAGACGAAAGCGGAAAAAGTGCACGGGACGCATGAGAGAACGAGAGCTTTCATCGGCGGCTCTTTTCTAGACACAGCATATCCGTCAGTGGTGAATGTATTTACTCACCGTTGGCATGAGCGGCGAGAAGGTCCCTGAGTTGCTGTTGGCCGGCCGTTAATTCCACGCAACTGACCCTGACGCTAAATCTGGCACCTGTCCTCTGCCGTTGCTCGGAGATCCCTCGGAAGAGCCAGGCGATCGCGCATGGTATCGCTCCCAGAGTGTGTCCTGCCTCCGGTGTTCCCAGCATCGTGTGCGATTTACCTGGACAAACAACGAAATTCGGATCATTTACCTCGAACTCCGTGTTCTGGAAAAATCGCGAACACATGCGAATTCAGGGGAGCGACGATTAATGCATTTACAGTATTACGTTCTGAACTGCGGCGACAATCGCTTTAACACTTTGTCCGTCGTGTCAGGCATATGTCAGTGACGAAGTTATTTGCTCGGATTTGAAAATTAATTGCTATATTAATCATTTATATTTTTCTAATTTTATTTAGATTTGTAAAACGTAATAATGTTGCAAAGATAATAATGAACTCGATTGATTTCTTTATGGATTACGAGTGACGCGTCCCCTTATACAGGGTGTCCCATAATTATGTTAACATCTGGAAACGGGTGATTCCTAAGGTCATTTGAAGGAACTTTTTCCTTAGCGAAAATGCAATCCGCGGCTTCGTTTACGAGTTATTAACGAAAAACACTGACCAATTAGAGAAGAGATCAGCTGACGCGAGGCGGTTGAGCCAATAAGCGGAACTAGGCTCCGCTCACTCGTTGGCTCGGCCACCTAGCACCAGTCAAACTCGCCCTCTCATTGGTCAGTGTTTTTCGTTAATAACTCGTAAACAAAGCCGCGGATTGCATTTTCGCTGAGGAAAAAGTTACTTCAAATGACCTCAAGAATCATCCCTTTCCAGATGTTAACATAATTATGGTATATCATATGTCATACTATAAAATAAAATAGATAAAATGAAACAAGAAAATAAAATAAAATAGAATAAAATACAAATCAAACTCAAATAAAGAGTACAATAATTCATAGAACGAATTAAAAATTATACTATTATGAATAACGATGCAAATGTTATTCGCGTCGTACAACTTAACTCTTCCATTTTAATCAAAATCAAATGCAAAACGGTACAAATACATGAAAAATTGACAAATTATTCTGGTATTATTGTCAGTTTATTAGAGTTGTTCAGAAAAGAAATCGAAGTTTATTTGGCAGAAAAATCGGCGTTCCAGTCGCAACAATCCCGCAGTCATTTTGCAACGTTACAGTGTTTTCATTGTTGCAGGAAGTCAACAATTTAACGGTCCGTTTTCCTGAGGAGCCCCGCTTTGCCGACTCGGAACAAACAGCCAAAGGGTTTAATTGTATTCTTTCACCGAGCCGGAAGTTGAAACAGGAGTCGGCCGTGCGTCAGCGAACGCGTTTCCGCGATTACGTCGTGGCAAACAGTATTCGTTCCGCGATTGATTTCCCTCGCTTTTCCGGGCCACGTGTCGCGCGCCGCGGATCGATATCGTCGACGGTTTTGTAAAATCGCCGGTCCGTGCCCGCCGCCAAATCGACGGATGACTCTGCGAACAATCACGATGCCCGATTTGTGGACCGGCCGCAACAATTAATTTGTTTACTATTTACTATGGACGACGGTGACCGATGGCCGTCGAGAACCGACGCGATAAATGTCCCGGGCGTAGTTACACCCGCGTGACGAACCCTCGTCGCGCACCCGGCGATCTAATTTATACACGCGCCGATAGATTGAAACTGATTAATTCGGTTACGTTGCAAGTTCACGGGTTTGACCAATGACGGGTGAAACGAATGTAATCGAGAATGGCGGCCGGTTGACGTTTACGCGTTAACAGCTGTCGCCAGCATCCGCGATGAGAAATGGCGCGATACGTTCCCGGAGTTTTCGATGCACCCTGCACTACCCCACGGCACGCGATAGTTCGCTGCGGCCGAATATACTGATGCTTTGCTACGTAACCCTCGAGCAGGTAAGGTAGTAGAGCCGGTCACTGTGGGCCGACCAATTGCTGCGCATTTCGCTTGTTTTCGGGAATAATTAATTTTATACTTATCGAATAAGACGTATTCGATCTTTTTATTGTTTCATCTCGTTTGTTTTTGTATACAAAAGAATTACGGTCGATTGTTCGACGGCTGGTGCGGCACGTTGCATCGTTGCAATTATTTTTGGTAATTAATCGGTAAGTATATTTAATAAAGCAGAGATCTTCGAAAAATATTAAACGGTCTTTTTAAAATAGAAATTTTAAAAAGAAACCAACAAATTGCTCATTCTATAGTTCCTCTATTTATAACTTGACATTTTTGGAAACACACTGCATAAAAGTACACATTTTCTCACATTTCTGTTAGTTGCGAAACAAAGACGAATTATTATCATCACGAGCATCTCAGTTTACAATAACGTTGCTCCGGCTTGATATCGAACAAGGAGTTTCCGAACGGCCAATCAGTCTTTCATACTTTCTTCGATTCGTCGAATAAGAATTGATCGTGAACGGCCAAAAAGAAAGTTCCATCCGCGTTAAACCGATCGCTGAAATAGCACCTGGCAGGCAGTAACTTGTTCCGAATGGGGAGTGGAAACTTGGGAGTTGAACGGCGAAAAAAAGAGTTCGGGGTATTATTGATAGGGAAACGAAAGAGTCTTATTAAAACCGTAAAAACAACAGAATGGAGAAGTTTCGCCGCGGGTAGGGGAGAAATATGGACGGTCGAAAGAAGAGAACGACGAAAATTGAAAGTGAAAGGCGCAAGAATTCGGGGGAAGGGCCGAGAGGCCTGCCGGCAACAGCGAAATAATGGGAGAGCAACGGCAGCCGTCGCTGAATCTAAAACGTTATTTAATTGTTCGAACATAAGACGGTGAGTTATGTTGTTATTTAATTAGAAACCGGGAAAGGACAAGCTTTTCGGCCGACTCGATCCGGAAAATTGGAGTTAACTTCCCCGTCGATTCCAGGGTTGCCGGGGAATTCATCAGACGCGACTTTTTCTTCGTTTAAGTAATAATTCTTTTACAGTTTCTTGAAATTGCTCGATTTAAAAAATTCAATGCTATTTAGCTTAGGGGAATTAGTAAATCGAGCAACATGACGAGTAAAATAGTGAAAAAGATAATAAATGTAAAGTTATAAGAAATTAATGAGAGAAGTGCACGCTATTCAAAAATCCTTGTGGTACAATTTGTTTAGAAACTCTTAATAAACGTTTTCAGCTTCTTGATGCTACAAAATGCTTGATTTTCTCGTAAAAAAGATCTATTCGTTCGAAATTTCATGAAGTATTTTATTTAATCCGATTAGAATTGACACGCATCGCATGCCGTTAATTATTATCTTAGCATTCTTACGTGCTGCCGATACTTAGAAAATGAGGAAGATATATTTGACTTAGCGTAAAAAATAATTCTCAATTCTGCGCAAACAATTTCTTTACCGAGATGTGGGTGACGCTGCGGGCAACGTTTTAAACTACGAAATTAGGGATAAAACATAACTCGTTGGCGCCGAAGTTAAAACGCACGAGATATCGTCGGTGATTTTGCGACTATTTCTGACGAGCGTGCGAGGATTAATCCAGCGATCTGCAAGTTCCCGAGTAATCGGAAACATTTTGCAGCTTGCAGGCGTACGACGACAGCGAGGTCCGCGCGTTCCGAGAGGAATCCTGCCGACAGTTCTCCTTTAAAACTAAGGCGTCCCGTGTCTAAATGCGCTCGTCGATATTGCGCGTAGCCGAGGAAACGATTTACGCGGGGAAACGCGGAAAATTTCAGCGAGAACTTTTACGGAGCCGCGGAGAGAAACGAAGCGGATGGAGGCGAGAAACATACTCCGAGAACCGCGTCGCGGAAAACTCGCGTAGGAGTGCTTTAAAGCCGATGCATCCGCCGATTGGAATTCCCCTCGAGTTCACCCTTTACGCGGGAAGGGAATCGCGTCTTGTCCCGGAGATCCTGCGAACGCATCGCGAATCGAACCAGTATTCCCGCGGTCGTTTACGTCTCGTCGATTCCGCGTGATGGAGCACCCGGTGGTGAGACAGCGAGCCGCGTGGATCGATGCATCGAAATAAGCCGGCGAACGAAAATTACAAAATTCGACAAACTACGGCGTATGTGCACCGTCCAACTGCGTTTTCACACGGACGATACAGTCGATGCATATGCGGAATTTCGACTATTCCGAGATTGCTTCGTGCGTTGCTTGAAAACGTACAACAGCTGCGAGCAATAATTCCATTCACTGGCGACGTACACCTCGCAAACCTCGTTTGAAAAATGAACCTTACAACGGTTTAAGCTCGAAGTAGTTGTTAACAACCTGTGTTGTTGATGCGACTTTAAACATACACGCCAATAAAAAGAAGTCTAATACGTAAATGGTTTTCATATACGTGTATATTATTGTATCTATGTATTTTATGTACAGGGTATTTCATAACTATGGTACTTCCGGGAAATGAGAAATTCCCGAGGTTATTCGAAGCAACTTTTTCCTTTACAGTAATTTTCTGCGAGGCATCGTTAACGAGTTATCAACGTAAAACAGTGACCAATGAGAGGCGATCTCGATTGGCGCGAGGCGGCCGTTCCAACGAGCGGTCGAACCCCAGATCCGCTGATTGGCTCGGCTCTCTTGCGCCAACCGAGCTCGTATTTGATTGGTCAGTGTTTTTCGTTAATAACTCGTAAACGAAGCCTCGTGGAACATTTTCGCTAAGGAAAAAGTTGGTACAAATGACCTCAGGAACCCCACATTTCCCAGAAATACCATAATTGTGAGACACCCTGTATGTTATATCTATACAAACCAGTCGAAACGACGAGTTTCTAATTTTTTCTTCAACAGTTAAACAGATTATAAAAACGTTAAGACAAAAAACTAACCTCATAATCGTGCGCATCAAAAACTATTCTTCCTGTTCGTGTCACATTGATAATTTTACAAAAATGAGAAACTACAATTCAATGAAAAAAAACATCTTCTTTCCGTAAATCTTCAATCAATGTCTTCGATTATACACATATACGTATTTTATAACTTATCAATAACCTAAGCAGCACCGATCACTTCGAAACAACGTCTACCAACGAAGTTCCAAAGAAAACTGCAAGTTTAATGACAATCCGTCGAACGGTTCCCCCAAAGCAAACGCGAATTCGTTTAAAGATTAAACATTAACGTTTTGAGCAACT